CGCTTTTTATACCCCAAGATTTCCTCCACTTCGTACACGTCGTCTTTTTTAATGATCTTTTGTAATTCTTTTTCGTAAAAAGTCCCTTCTAATTCCTCTCCGTTATAATCTTGCACTCTATACACGTAAGGATACCTTCCAGGAACTCTTTTAGAAATGGTAAACAGTTCTGTGGTCCAGTTAGGTAAATATCCTTTTTCAAATGTGCGTTTGGCTTTACTGATGCGGACCTGATCTCCTTCTTTAAACTGAGGTTTAAGAAACTGTTTTCGTTTCGATATCCCATATAAAGTTTTCCAGACTTTTAACACATTAGAAGCATTCACTTGAACTGGGGCTCTTTTGATACTCCGATGATAGGTATGATTGTAAGCATACACTAAATCCGGTAAAACTTCTAAATACCGTCTGGTTTTATGACGAGTAAAATAACGCCACATGAGTGCTTTGAGTGTACGCTGAAATCGTTCCACGATACTGGCTTTAGTGTCCGTATTACGAGTAGTAAAAAAATGAATGGATTTAAAAGCTTGTAAGAATTCTCGATTGGTAAATTCTTTTCCTTGATCGGATTGAATGCGGACGGGACGTCGACCGTCTTGTTGAAAAATCTCTTGTAATCCTCGAATCATTTCTTTTCCCGTTTTCTGTTTTAAAGGCACTACCCAGGCATATTTAGATAAGACGTCAATGGCACATAATAAAAACGTATATCCATCATTATGTTTCTTTAAACTGGACACATCTGCTAAATCTAATTGCCATTGTTCGTCTATATCGGTCACTCTAGTCTGTTGTCTCCGGAATTTTCTTTGAATGGGTTTATGTAAAGTATAAGTATCTTGCTCTTTTAACCATTCTCGAATCTTTTTCAGGGAAATTCCTAAAGGTTTGACCTGACGATACAAAGCTTGTATTCCTCCGTACCCTCTTTTAGGATCATAATAAATCTCTTTTAAAATATCTTCTACTTGTTTCTTTTTCATATTTTAGGCAATGAAAGCCAATTTTCATCGATTTGTCCTAATTTCTTTTCTTCTTCCTTTTTAGCTTTAAAGGATTTAATGTCTTCTTCGACTTGGGCTTTTAATTTGTTTCGAGCTAAAGGACTATATCTGGATCCTACCCTTGTCCCTACAGGAGTTGAAATGGATTTTTTAATGACGGTTCCTCGATCTTCTAGGGGTCTACTCACTGGAGTGTCAAAAAAGGAAGAAAATCCACTATCGTCTATTTCGTGACTTTTAGGAGTACTGATTTTTCCAGGTCTCTGCATGGCTTTTATAAGGTTTCCATTGCTCACATATTCTAGAGGAGTACGCGTTTCTTTTAAAGCTTGAGCAAATTGTTCTAATCCTGTAGGAACCGGATGAGTTTTACGAGACTGAGATCTCATACTATCAGCCATTAAATCCACAATGTTAGAATCGGAAATTTTTTGACCTCGATAACTAATTTCACCTTCTTTATTCCAAGTTAATACTTTAGGGTTTTTCTTTAAATGATTTAATAATAATCCAGCTTTTCTTTTCATGTTTTTATTCACTGTTTCAAGGATTTCATCGTCAATTTCAGCTGCTGGTAATGCTGCTGCTGCTGCTGGGGCTGGAGCTGCTCCTGCTGGGGCTGGAGCTGCTGCTGCCGGAATTTTCAGTTTAGAAATAGGTTCCTGTCTAGCTTGTTGTAAATAATTCCTATATCGATGAAGTTCCTGGCCATATAAAGCGACTTTTTCTTCTGGGGTTAAATCTTCACGTCTTGTAATCTCGTCCAATTCCTGAACTAAACTGATGGTGGATTGAAATTCCGGAGGTTTGGGTAATTTGGCCTTGAGATCATTTAATAAGACTTCAGGAACTAACACCATTTTACGACTCATATTTTTTTTTTCTTCTTCTTCTTGAGGACTTTATAGACGGATTGACCGGCACCTAACAATAAAGGTGCTGCTGAGATTAAAAGGGGTAAAATGTTTCCTCCTTTTTGTTGAAGTAATAAAGCTCGTCGTTTCTGGACAGATTGAGGTTTGACCAGTCTCCTGAAGATGTGTTTCTTAGGAGCTAGTTTTCGTTTATGAGCCGAACTAAGAGGTAACACTCCTTTTAATAGGTTGTACACGATCTCGCAGATTTTGAGAATACAATCTCCAGAACAATGTTTTAAAATACCCGTCTTTAATGGAGAGGAATAGTGAGGGTCCGATAACACTCTTAAAAGAGGCCAATGAGGTTTTAATCGTGTAGAACAGCCTCTTTTCTTCTTCTTCTTAGCCATCCTGGGGTTAAAATGAGGACATGGCCCAGGTTTCTCCCCTTTTTATACTCTCAAGGAGGAGGAGCATACATGTCGTGTTTGGCGTTCTCGTGTTTCTCTCTATTTTTCTGGGTGACGTAGAATTTAGAACAATATCGGCATTTATATCTCATTCCTTTAGGAAGTTGAGGTGTAGAAGCGGTCAGAGGTTGAAAGCGTGCTATTTTAGGAGTGTGAATGGGTACTTTAATTCTAGGAGTGTGAATGGGTACTTTAATTCTAGGAGAGGGAATTCCCACATTGACTTGAGGAAACATTTCTAAATCGGGAGCTCTTTGACTGCCTATGGGTCCCATAGGACGATCCATTCTCATTTCAGCTTGTTTTTTTAATAATTCCCCAATAGTTTTTTGTCTTTGTTCTTTATAATACTGATTGATTTCGTTTTTTAAACTTTCAGGCATGGCTTTTCGTTGAGCTTGAGTTTTGGGAGTCGTTTTTTTCTTTCTACCACCTTTTCTTTGAGCAGCAGGTTTTCTCTTTTGAGGTTTTCTCTTAGGAGGTTTTCTCTTCTTTCTGGTCTTTTGAGCTGCTCCTCCTACTCGGACCATCCAATCTGGAAACACTCTTTGTTTCTTATTATTGACTCGCACTACCACACTTTTTAAACGACGAACACGTCGTTTTTTAGGTGCATTCCATTTAAATAAATGACGAATAATGACTCCGCCTAGAAATCCGGCTCCTCCGCGTTTTAAAATGGCATTTTTCCTGTCTTGATCACTCGCCGACTTATCGGCTATGATACTTAAATCTTGACGATGATTATTAATAAACTTTTGAGTCTGTTTATTGATAGGTAAGACCCCACGTATCAAATTTCGAGCTCCCATAGCAAACCAATTCAATAAGGCTTTACGCCCTAATTCGATTAAATGGGCTCGCTTGGCAGGATCTCGCTCCCGCTGTAAACGTCGTAACGTTTTCACTAATTTACTCTTGGCTGAGAGAGGTCGACCCATGACGACTGTATAATGATAAATGACAAGTTGAATGTTGATACATTTTTATTTATACTATTGTGGCATGTGTATAGTTAACAATTCAAACAATCGACTTCTCAATCTGTATTCGTCTGGGGTGTGTGGATTCAAGTCAACCAGGAGATACCCGTGAGGAACACTGGTGGCTTCTTGATAAGCTGACATCAAATGAGGTAAGGCTAACTGTCGACTCAAGACACTGATTTGAGATTTGTCTCTGGGATTTTTAAACAACACTAAATAATGAGCATTCAAACTAATAGTGCGATGCTGTGGTGCCCGATCAAATAAATTCTGAGTGATGTAAATCACACTGGTATTCCGATGATGCGCTTTACGGGTAAACCAATCCACGATGGATTCGATGGCTTTTCCTCCCATCATGTCGTCAAAAATGAGTAAGTGAGGAATACTTAAATTGGCTACTAATTTCTCATCGTCTTCTGGAATATTTCGAATGAAGGAGACCTGATCTGTTAAAGAAGTGTAAGCAGGTTGCCATTCCCGATAACACCAGACAATTTTTTGTGGCATGGGGGTAATCCAATGTAAATTTTCCACTAATTTTTTAACAAATTCCGTTTTCCCCGATTTAGATGGTCCTGCTACCACCATGGTAAATTCGTGTTTTAATTGAAAAGACGGGAGTGTCTCGTCAGGTTGCATGATGATAAATGAAGAGAAAAATAGGGTTTCAATCCTTTTTATTCAACACAGTAATATACGTTGAGTTCTCTTCACATCGGATCGACAGATGGGGCAATACCGGAAGGTGGGAGCACATAATGAACAGCAACATACGTGTCCACAAGGGAGTAAAGCCATTTGTAATTCTCCCTCTAAACAAATGTGACATTTTCCTGCGGCCTGAATCTCTGTAGAGGTTTGCTCTAGTAGAGGTTTAATTTCAGGTGAAACTTTGTATCCCACCCGGAGTAAATGGTTAATAAATACGATCATCACCCACTCACGTCCTTTATAGGTATTGATGTAAGGACAATTAGGGTTCCAATAAGCATGTTCTACATAAGGATCGTCTGTAGGTTTCCAGCAGTTTAAAGTCATACCACAATGAAAACAGATGGTCTTATCACTCACTCCCCTGTAAAAAAATCCGGCTTTGGCTAGGTTGGGTAATAATCCTTTTAAAGACCCGGGCCATCCCTCTTTAAGAGCAGAGCATAGTTAGGGTAATGAGGAACCCCCTCTGGCTCCCTAGAATGATTAGCCATGACTGAAGTGTTCAAATATGTTTGCCCCCTTTTTATAACCCCTTCATATTTTAGGGGTTTTCCCCACATAAAATAAAAACACATTTTGAAATACAGTATGTTTTTAATAACCATAAGGTAAAGTATTATAATCATTCATTAATTGTCTCTTATCATAGACAATTCTATATTGTTTTTCTAAAGGTACTGTCTTGACTTCATGTTGACGAGTCCTCTGTATTTTGTAGGGATACGAGACTTGGATTTCATCCATTTCTTTCTTGAGCATTTTTTCTAATGTCTCTGGTGACACGATATTGGAAGCCCGATAATTAAGAGTCAATCCTTTGACTTTACACACGGAATTTCCCTTGGATGTGAGGTAAGCATAATTTTTAGGACCTCCTGACATGAATTTGATAATGTGGTCCCCGTCTAATTCATCAGTCCATTCTCCAAAACTGTGGCCAAGGGTAGGATTAAATTGTCCCTCCTAATGTTGGTATATGATACTGTCCGTATCGAAATAAAGGACCCGATTTCCTAAAGGTTGTAAAGTCTCGTAGAGGTGTAATCGGGCATGAGCGGTAGTGAAACAGGCCAGTACCACGTTTCCGAAGGGACACTCTTCTACAAATTCCTGTTTCTCTTGATAATTCACCAGCATCATGTCCGATTCGGGCTGCTCTTTATTTTCTAAGAGTTCTAGCCCTTTGAAGTCAATGGTCGAATCTTCTAAGAGTTGCTGTAATTCCTCTTCTTCGGTCAAGTATCGAGTTTTAGGTAATAACAGGCGTTGAGCGAATTTTCCCCACAGGCAATTTAAAAAGAGTTTGGCTATCGTTCTTCGCACCGGATTTTTTTCTATACTTAACAGATCCATTCTAATGCCTTCTCTGTCTATGACTTTACGAATGTAATCTAGTTTTTGTTCCTCCGTCTGACAATCAGGTGGGAATCCAGACGCTTCCTGTTTGATCTTTAAGAAGGTATCGATGTAAGATCTGAATAAATCTTTACTGCTTTCTGGAAAATGCCAAACCTCGTAAATCCGCTCTAAAGTATATCCCATGTCTAAGGCTTTATGTAATTCTGTAGTCACCCAAGTACCTGTAAGACTGCGTTCCTGGTCTGTGTGTTGACATCGATGTTTAGAAGTAGAGTCCTGTCGTTCCGCACAGGTTCGGCATAATAGAAATAATAACTTGCCTCCTGTGCGATAAGGTAAAACGGGGTGATAGAGGCCTCGGGGTGGTAAGACCCGACAGTGAATGAGGCCGAAATAAGTTCTCACGTCCTGGAAGTCGTCTGTTATGATCTGAGGATGGCCTAGGGGAAAAGGTCTGTGTTTTAAGACGTAAGGGTATAAGGAACAGACGTCCAGGTATCTCATGTCCCCCTCCTCACAATACAATCTTGAAGCATTTGTGCGGCCTCCGTACAGGGCTTCTCGGGGGTTCAAAGGATCTGGAATGTCCAGGTCTCGTAAATAATTCTGTAATGCCACCTCTCTTTGTACTTGTTGATCGAAATCGTGTTCCCAGATACTATGTACGGAATACGGAATACCCCATTTCCTCTAAGACCGTATTCCTCCTTAAAGTTTCCTCGTGTAATTCCTGGTAAGTAAATTGTGTCCGGTGAGGATGAGTTTCGGTCTGTAGATTCGGATAGCAGGTAGGGCATCCGTGCCAATAGCATCCGTGAAATTCGTAGATGGTACGAGTAGCTTCCTGGTATCCATCTACGGTATAACTTCCGATCTTGACTTCTCCTCCGTTTCTAGCATGTCGTATGTGAGATCCGCTCTGGTGACTCATCCAGGTTAGCCACCGACAGGCTTTGGCGGAATATTGACGCGCAGGCTGATACCCCATGTTGGGAATGATGGCAATGGTATCTTGGGGCATGAATCCTCGACGGTAAGCTAAATTGGCCGCACTGGCAAAAGTGATGGATTCCTGGAAGGGGTCTACATGGACTAAGGTCTTGAGAGTGGCTCGAAACTGAGCACAGCATCGTCGTAAAATATCGACGTCTGAAATACAATAGTCTAAAAATTCCTTCTGGAAATCAAACACTTTTCCGGCTTGTTGTTCATACCATTGGTAAAAAGCCTGTCGTCCACTTATAGACATGTCGTCCGGATTGTAGAATGCTGCAGGTGGATAAGGCCCCACATAATTCTGGTTCTGTTCTGTATTAAAAAAGTGAGGGAAATACCCTTTTTTCAGTTCGGTGAATCCGAAAGCAGAGGGCATTTTAGATAAAGAAAAAGGTAAAAAATTATAAGAGTCGATGAATTTCAATCCGCAGATTTGCATGGATAAGATTTTACTGCCGTTCATGATGACTGTAGGCGTCATGCAGGCGGAATGCACCAGGTAATTTAAAATGAACTGTCCATCATATCCTTTGAAATTGTGGGCAATGATGATAGCCTCGTCGTGTAATAAGGCGGAATTCTTATTGCCTGTGTCGGGCTGTAATAACCAGTCCATGAAGTGTTTTAAGGTATCTGGCCCTTTAAACACGTGTTGACGGGGTCCCATGTGTCGACAGTGAGGACAGTGATCTTCTATGGGTAAGTGTCCGCAATGTTGACATACGCGGTGTGCCACACATAAATTAGGGACGTGGATGCCGTTTTCCTGTGTACATTCGAAATCGAAATAAATATAAAACTGTAATGTCTCTTTGCCTTTCTTTTTCTCAGGCTTGAGTTGAACGTAGCACTGATGATCCGTGTCTACAGTTTTCTTACAGATCTTACATTGTTTCTGTCCTCCGCAATGATGATGAGGGAGTAACATTTTAGGCATCCATTTCTCACAATGCTCGCATCGTCCCATTAAACTGCACACTGTTGTGGCCGTATTCTTACTGTGAGGTTTTAAATGGTTTTCGTAGCAAGTTCTGCTCTGAAAAAATCCCTGGCATTGATAACATTGAATGTGGCTCCCGTCTGGAGGGCAGGGCGTGTCCGTTAAACAAAAGGAACAGCGGTAAGGACACTTGGTACGATGGCCTGTAATGTTCCTGTACCCCACATCGCAATGATCACAGTAATATGGGTTGCCGGTCACAGCTGGCATAGACAAAATGGCATCGTAATGATGATCGTTTAACAAAACATTTAAACAAGTTCCATCTCCGCAGCCTTTGTATATGGGCTCTAAACTGAGTTTAGAGGAGTTGGACTTAAACTGATATATTTTCAGTCGATAGAGAGGGGCTAACACCTGTTGTAATTTCCCCCATTCTTCGGGTCCACAAGGCTGATGAATATCACAGCCGGCTTGTTCCATGAGAGCTATAGCTTCGTTTTTCTGGTCATTAGCTCTTACATCACCCTTCCGCATACGTAGCCATCGTTTTTCCCATTCAACTAAACTCTCTGGATTTTCCGGTTTTTGACTGTGTAACCGGGTGACTACAATGGCTCGAGCTAAACAAAATTTATCCCAAGGATTGTCGATCTGAACGATGCATCGTTTATTCTTTTTAAAACTCTCCTTATTGACCATCAGGTGTTTGGTATTCTGTCCACCACTGCCTTCTGGATATTTGACATGAAACATGTCGAATTCCATAGACCCGTCTCCCAGTTTAAAATCTTTCTTGGATTGTTGCACGGCTTCTATTTTGTTTAAAATGAGGTCCTCGTTCAAATGTTTACATTGCGTAAACTCGTACCAAATGTCGGAATCCAGAGAAGGGTGGTGAATGTTCAGGCGTACATAATCGTTAGGGTTACACTGCATGTGATATTTGACATTCTGTAGCATGTCTCTAAATAATCGCCGAACAAAGCCTCTGTTTTCCTCCTCTGGAAATTCTTTAAAATTCACACTGTAGACATCTTCTTTAGCTTTAAATTTTCTGGAATGCTTAGCTTTATTGAGTCTCACTTGATAATACTGGGAAATGGCCTTTGGCTTCTGGGGTGGTGAATGAGGTGGTGACGAAGACGGAGAAGGTTCTTCTTCTTCTTCAGGTACATTCCGTAAACGTTGTAAGTGTTGAGCTCGGTTGGCTTTGGCTCTCTTTAATCTTTCCATTAATCTCGCATTTTTTTCCTGAGAACTAATTCTCTGGTTCTCTGTCGAGAAATAATTCTTTCTAATTCTTTCTCCCGTTTTTTCCATCTCATAAGTTGTTGTGCATGTAACAATTGTTTCAAGGCACTATCAAAATTCATCTTGATAGATCTGACAACAAAATGAGCTGAAAGTCGGAGAAAAGCTGTATTTATAGAGTGTATGACGTCACAATGCCTAGGTAGCTCGATGATCCAAGACTAAGTATTGAGACGTACACTGTACGTACAAAAGGGTATATAAAGCAGAGCTGGAAATTTTAGGATCAGTCTTAGTGGGCACTTGGTACTAGACAGACGTAAAAAAATATGGCAGAGGAAAAGTCCATGAATTTACCTGCAACTTTACCAGAGACACAGGATAGTATTGAAGGAAATGAAAGAAGTTTGATATGTGATATCTTAGATCAAATGACCAATGTAATGGAGATACTTCAACAGACTATTTGTGAGTTTAAAGAAGACATGATTACTGAAATTCGTGTGTTTAGAGGAGTGATAATGAATGAGATTGGAAATCTAGAAAAGAAAATAGAGACTAGTCAGGATCAAAAGCAGGCTAACAACAAGAGGAAATTTCCTACTACCCAGACGGAGAAGACCCTGAAACTCCAGAAGAAAAAGTAAATATTATGTACACATTATTTGAATAAATCATCTTACACACTTTTGACTGTGTTATTGTTTTTTCCGTTTTCAGAAAATAGAGAGAGGTTTGCTCTGTGTGAATGACACACATGACGTCACAATGGTTAACTTGAATCGATGCCAAGATTGTGTGTGTATTGCCTAGGCCTGACTCAGCACAAACGTAGATTAAACGTAGACCCCTTTTTTACTTGGGTTTTTCCAGGGTGTATACTAGATTGAACCGGCCAGGGGACCAAAAAAAAAGTGCACTCAGTTGACCCGCCTATCCAGGATCTGGGGAGACAAAAAGTGCACTCAGTTGACCCGCCCATCCAGACCCCTTATACTACTTACACCATTTTCAGTGTTACTATCTAGGATATCAGCACCAGGGTATACTCTTCACATTCGTTACACGTGACTGCTTTATTGTCACGGGTATCGGCATGGAATGACGACCCGTGTTCGTGCTGGTTATCTTGCATTGCCTTTGTTTACATTTTATTGCAGTTACGTGTATTAGTGTGTGTTTGTATACTGCACTGAACTGTGCAACTGTTGTAAGTCCCTTTGGTATCTTACTATCCTGCATTAGAAGTAAACAGTTATTTTTGTCGCTATGAGTACTGTATAGCATACGTCCGTCTACACCGGTGACGATTGATTACACTGACCAGTGACTAAGCTTACAGCAAAATGCCTGGGATAAACAGTTTTGATTTGTTGTGTTTACTTTCCAATGGATTTGAAAACCACAGGGAATGAAACTCATTTCGCCATCAGCATGAATTCATTATAGCATGTTCGTTATAACCATGTTTTTCTGTATAGATATTTCTTCTCTTACATCATGGTACATATTGTATAGATACATTTTCCTCATTGTTTAAGCCAGTGATTTAAATCATTCACTTATTATACTATGGTATAACATAGATTTAGAGTTTGATGCTAGCCAGATATCTTTTCATCTTGATGATGTAACATTAAAACTGTTCTCCTTCATTTCAAAACAAATTTCACAATTTTAAAATTAAAACCTTAATATATGAAATTTACAGTAATATTTTCTATCAGTTTTTCTTTTCTAGATGTGTACCACCTTGGTAAAATGTTCAGTTTCTGAAAGTATAACAAACTCTTATATCATCTTTTCCAAATTTTTCTTCTACCACTCCTTAGAAGCAAATTGTGCTGTAAGGCACAATATATTTGAAGTAGGGGACAAAATAAAGGTTATTTTATGTTTATTGTAGAACAACACAGTATACATTTAAAATTTTAAGTTCATGGAAGCAATAAAAACAATATTCCCAGTGTCTAAAAATTGCAATTCATTTATAGTCAGTGCCAATTTAACTTAACCAAATTATAATTAATAATAAATGGAATCACAAAATGTCCCGTAACAACTTTCAGAATTTTTTGAAATGGTGTAATGATGGAATAATCAGATTAATAGTTTTACAATTCATGTCCCATATTCACTGCTTTTTCACTTGTTTGATAAATTTATGTCCACAAAGTCAAATAAATAGAATGGTGTTTGCATGAAAAAGTGAAGCTTTTTTTCTTGACCACTAGCAAAGTTTCTTTCAACAAGTTCACTTTCTTGAAAAACTTTTTTTGTAAGTTTTCACCATTACATTACACTGTCCATGCCCTCTACTCTTAGGAATGAAGAACATTTCTCTTTTTTTTTTTTTTTTTTAAAAAAAAATCATTTTCCAAACAGAATTTTCTTTGAATCATCATTCTCGGACATCACTGTAGATTGCCCCCAGTCATTTGGATGAGACCATATAAACCCAGTTCCAGTGTCGCAGAAGGTGCTGGCATGAAAAAGATCTCTTCCTGCTTAAAGGCCTAAGTGCCGAGTACAGGTCTAAATTTGCAGCCCTTCACCGGCAAGTGTTGGCGTCCCCCTATAAATTAAAGATTCTCATGTGGGGTGTTGAAACAACAAACTGTAGACTGTTCATAGCACTCCATTTCTATCAAGTACTCTCATGTTCTTCCACAAAGAGCTATAATAAAGATAAAAGTACATTATACAAAGAAGCTAAGATTTATTCATTGATCATCTTATATATATATATATATATATATATATATATATATATATATATATATATATATATATATATATATATATATATATATGTTTTTTACAAATCTTGCAAAACTTAATTTGGGAAAAACACAGATAATGATTTATAGACTTCTGTTGATAAAATCGGGTGTATTTAATTAAATTGAGATCTTATTTGCACGGGTATTAAAGGATTCAGGTACTTAAAATAAAATTCTACATACCATGACAATTATACAAACTAGTTTACACAATGTACCACTATGATGAATAATGCAATTCATCAAACAAGGAAAAGAATATGTAGTGTAAGAGTTTTAAAATGAATGTATTTTCATGCATAGATCCTCTCCCATACATTATATGTGTTATAATGATAATAATTTCTTCGCTTCTTGAAAGTGAAATTTTTTCTGGTACATACACAAATTTATCTGCACATGTTTTAAAATATTAGAACCTCCGCATTAAAAATATTTAAACCAGATTCGTTTAATGATGTGAATAATACAGAATCAATTATTTGGTTTAATTATTTGGTTTTGTTCAATACACCTCTATGATTTCTTATAAAAGGCACTGTGACTTTTATTTCTGGCTTCCGTCAATTTAGAGGAAATTCGGATTGTGAATTACTTCAATAGTACGTGTATGCACATAAAACCCAATAAAAATTATAGTAAATAGTTACAGTGTATACACCAAACATCATACTTTCATTGTATTATGAAACTTATTTTTCTTGACCAAGTGTTACTACTTACCCCTTTATCACCAATTTCAATAACATCAAGCCGTGGCGAGGCCTCAGCAGTGGACTCCATTACCCATATGACGTTTGGTGATCAGCTGATTCAGATTGAAAAATATCGCGGGATTATTGCTTTTAAATTAATTTAATATTTATCTTAAGATTGAATTGAATAATTTAACCGCAAGAAATACATTATTTGTATTTGTTCCCGACTGAAAAAAGAATATCTACTTGCTGTTTCGTTTTGTGAAAAACGAATCTGTATTATTAGTAAACCAGCATAATCCTGATTTTAAGTAGGTCAATGCTGGTTTTTAAATCTAGGTCAATGCTAGCTATGCTAGTTCTATCCTTTGCTTGCTGATCCTGAACCTGGTAATGCTGTTTTTTAAATGCTGATGCTAGCTCGATCCTGATGCTACTAATGCTTATGCTGATGCTGGTTTATGTAATAAAATTAGTTCCCTGCACTGTACATGGCATGCGTGGCGACAACAAAAATTCCAACAGTACGGGATATTACTCCGAGACAGGAAATCTAACCAGACGTGCGTTGATGTGACAAAAAAATTCAAACAGCTCGTGATTGTTGATGTAGAATGAATACAAAACCCAACAGCCCGTGCTGTTGATGTGAAATTTACATGATATAAACTAATTTAAATATAATGTTAATAGATAAAGGAATTATAAAAAAAAATATTTTTTGAAGCATAATACGTAAAAAGATAAAGATTTGATATTATCTATTTAAAGTATAATATGTTAAAAGATAAAGAAATCATTTAATTTATTTGAAGGATAATATGTTAAGAGGTAAAAGATTTAAAAACTGTAGAAAGTTAATTTATTTAAACACATGGAGTATAATTACCCTGTCCCAATCTTGTCTTTCACTGTAGATCCATCCGATACACTCTATAAATCTCCCTGGTGCAGTGCTTTTGTTTTCATAATTAAGTTCACAGTAATTTGCCCCTTTATAATAACTAACGGACTTACATCGAGATGTCCTGATACATTCGCCCACGCAGTCTAAAATGCTATACTCGACATAGGAGTTTATCATACGTCTATCTAGTCTAAATCCATATTGTAGCTTAGAATACCCTGTAACCAAGCTTCCAATGCACAAGTAAGGAACTCTTAATAAAATAAAAAAGTTTAAGATGCGTGCTAGATTAGACATCTCTCTTCGCACCATTATAACTGGAAACACAGTCTGATCAAAATAGTTATATTGATCTCCATTTAAGATTTTTTTTCTCGATATGAAAAAACAAACTTTTGATTCCCTTTGGATGATAAATTGTGAATTAAATATCCTGCGCTTCCGCCTCTATTCACAGCTCGTTTCCTAGAAGTTAAGTTTAAATATTTCAACAACAAAAAATAGTTCGATCAATTGCTTTTAATTCGTATTGCATTCTACTCCTTTCATGTTCCAAAATCAAAAGAGGTATCGCGCCTTTTCCCAGTATTTCGCCTACCACCAGATTTCAATGAAAAGTTACCCATGAATATTAATGTTTTTATTTTGCGAACTGAAATTCTTGTAAATGTACATTTATTT